GCGCTCTTCGGTTGCTTCAGTGCAAAATGAATCATCCCAACAGGCCGTGAATATGGAATCCCGCGATCCGTGACTTCTATAGGAGCCGCTTGCTTGGTTTTTTTCCCCCGCCTTGGTTTGCTGGCGGTGTGACCTCGGTGGGAGTTGAGGGCTGCAGTTCAGTAAACCCGGGTCAGGAAGTCCCCGCAGCTCTTAAAGCGGGGCTGGGGAAGGGCAGGGTGAACAGAAGAGCTCCAGGAAGGGAAGCTTCTAACGTTCAGTGCAAGCTAGTTCTCCATCAGGCTGCATGTAGAATCCCGTTTGTCCTGGCACTGAACTGCTGCTTTTTCTTACTGCGGGAAAGCTATTCCAGATGTACCAGAATGAAAGTGAAAGCACGGAGTAGCTTAGGAATGTTGAATGGGAGATATTAGCCCGTGTTTTTCACCTGTGGAAGGAGAAGATGAAGTTTTACCAAAGTAGAACACCCCCCTTCTCAGTCTATAATGTTATTCCAAAATATTCACCCGCTCCTCCTATTGCAGGACAGACAACAAACCGATGTTTGGGGCAGGGAGAGAGTGGTAGTTCAGAAAATGCTGGGGGTAACCTGTGCATCTGTGCATGGATTTGGCGTAGCTGTCTTGGTGGTTGCTGTTAACCTGTCCTAGGAAAAAGAGATCACACTGGGACTGTGACCCTTGCCTGGATGATGGTGATTTCCATGCCTGAACCTGTGCCAATGCAGAGGTAAAAGGGCTGGGGAAGAGAAGAAACGGCTGTCAGGCCAAGCATGGGCTTCTCAGAAGAGCAGCTGGGGTGGAACAGGTTGGAAAGGCTTCAAGGGTTGCTTCTATGGGAAAAGACTGACCATCCCGCTGCTTAATTCATAGCTAAGGCAAAGTCATTTGAGCTAACTTAGCTCTTTTTCATTGCAACCACAGCCTTGTTTTCAGTTCTGGGCAGTCCTTGCATAAAGAAACCAAAAACCCCAGGTGTTCCCTCTTTCTGCAGAATTCAATTCCTAAAAGACAGCCAGTGTACCCAAGACCCAAAGTCAAGGGGATGACGTGCAGGCACAACCAGAGACTGACCATCCTTCTCAGCAAGGGAAGAACCATCAGTTTGTGGAGACAAGGAAGCACACCTCAGTGGGGGGAATCCCACTGCTTTCACACCCGGAGCTGAGGTATGAAATGTCTGTATGTGGGGGCATGAACACCTGTGTAGCCATGTCTGCTCCATGTCTTCTTCCTCACAAGGACTTTGGAATCAGTGAAGCGAGGTAGGCTGCGCCCCTGTTGATCTTTAGGCTCTCATTGATTGCAGTCCACATAGCAAACTGCTACAGAACTTTGGAAAGGGAATGCCTCTGCCTCCCCCATCAGATCACTCTGCAGCAGTAAAAAGGTTTCCATTAGCTTGACAGCACTTTGCAGGAGCAGCGAAGATTTGGATGATTGTTTGTAAGAGTATTTTGATACTTTGAAAGAGGAAAATAAAAGTAGAATAGGTGGTAGCAATGTTGTTCATGGAAGAATTTGGTTCCTAGGATGTGGTCTCCGTATAGGCCCTGAAATGGGCAGCACAGAGACTTGTGCTCGATCTATAGTGGGAGTCAGCTTTCCAGAGCTTACTCTGCCCTGGTGTGTAAATGAACATGGACTACAGGAATCACGGTGAGAGCTGGAGACAGCCTTCTGTCCCCTTAGTGACTCCTTTCCCATTGAAAAACTATATGGAATGAAATTCCAAACAAATCATGCTAAAATACTCTAGAGAACTTTCTAGGTCTTCATTCTAGCAATTCCTGTGAGCGTTTCCATCACTTGGTAGTTGTATATCTCTGTAACAGAAAAGTTTTCAATGCTCTGTAAGGGTTTCCAGTGCCCTTGGAATTTCAGAGTGGATATTGTGCAACTGCTACTTCCTTCTCCTTCTGGGAGATGAACCTCACCTGCCCATGCCCCCCCAAGGCTTTACTTACTGATGAGGGCTACTACTATAGCAGATGAAACCAGCACAATTCTGAAGTAATGTCATGAATCAAGAACAAGTACCTCCCGCCTTTGCCAGTGCAAAGTCTGGGGATTTCTGCCTCTTTCTAGTACTGTCAATGCTGCTTGCCTCTGCGCAGGTGAGAGGCACTACATAAGAATCTTAGACAAAGCTTGGCTTCTCAGCCTTCTTAACCTTAGTATGCGTTTAATGCTATTAACAGTAACATCCTTCTTAAATATTGAATGCAGTTCCTGGAGGCTTTTCTTTTCCGATTTCATTCCTGTTTATCCAGTTCTCCTTCCCGTGACTGGAAGCAAACACTCCTCAGCAAGCCAGTCTTGCCACTGTGCTGCATCCCCCTCTGATCCCAGCACAATGTTTCCTTTGCAGCCTGCGTACCCCAGCTGGCTGCCAAAATAGCCCCGGCAGCCAAGCCCTGCATAGTCTGGAGGAAAGTCTCTTACAAATTCAACTTGGAGCTGAAAGGCAAGGCAGGCGTCCCCCGGCTAGTCTCTCCTCTTCAATGAAGACATGCATGAGAATATTGGCCAGCATTTCTGGTGGAGCTGCATAAGCCAGAACATGTATTAAGCACAGGCTACATCTTCCAGCTTACTGAAACAAAACACAGCCCTGCCTTATCTTAGTTGCAGCAGCCAGCAGGAGCTCTCTGCATCCTCAAGTACTTCACTGGTTTTGAGCTTGAATTTCTCTCCCTGAACTTCAAGTTATTCAGTAGCAGATTTAGAGGTTTTCTATGTTTTACAAAAGCATTTCCTAACAATTAATGCTTCCAACAAGCCATCTGTTGACATGTTGACATAAAAAACGTATTTTCTTTTTCTTTTTTCCTTGGCTGCAGCGAGTTAGTTGATTTGGGATTACAATGGTAGCACAGCAGGACTTGGTTTGTCTTTTCCTTGCATTAAATTTTATTGAAAATGTGAATTGTAAAAGACATTAGAATGAGACAAAGTAAAATCTGTTTTTTTAAATGAAAGGATGTTAACAGTTTCTTCTCTTCCCCAGCCTCAAAGATTTAAAAAATCTTGGAAGTTCAGTGTCTTCTGTAGAAATGCTTAAATTAAAGCCTTTTCACCCCTCTACTGAGGCCAGTTTTCAGAGGAAACAAGACATTTTTGTTCACGCTGTCAGCACCTGTCTCTGTCTCCTCTTAGTAGCAGTGGGATGCCTTGGCCAATTCCAACCTCCTTTGCAGCAGAGTAGAGGTCCTGCAACAAGGTGATGCAGCATGCAGCTCCGAGGCTGCAGTCCCCAAAATGATCTGTAGCCCAGGTACAAAACTGGCTGGCCAGCTGGCCAGGGCGGGAGATGAAAGAGGGCAGTGCAGTGAGGCGTAATGCAGAAAGGAAAAGAAAATGAATGGGCTTTTGCAGAGGTTGACATAGGTGATGTGGAGGAGTGTGGTAGGAGTATGTGTTCATTAGCTGTTATTTTCAGCGTCTGAGCTGAGTGAACCTGAATAGAAGTGAAGAAATATAACTGAGGAGAGCTCGACTGCAGATGCCCGGATTTCCTAAAATTCACAGACACGACCAGCCTTGGGTGAGACAGAGAGCAGGTTTGCTCCGTCTTTCAGGAAACCTGCGCTGTGTGGGGGCAGGGCGCGGGTGAGGGTGCAGGCCAGTGCTCTGAGGGCACCGGACCCAGGGTGAGGGTGCAGACCCGTGAGGGTACGAGACCCCTGCGGGGCACAGCTCGCCGGTCGGTGCCCGTGACCCCTCCGGCGATGCCCGCCCTGTCCCGGTGCTGCG